GATTGGCATTTGACCGATCGCTCCAATCGCAGAGTCTGACATCGGCCAATGCGACCCCCTCGTTCGAATTGTGCGAACGGACGGTTGACCCTGCTCCCATATGTAGAACTGGTTCCTACAGAATGTGGTGCCTTTAACAAAGTAACCAGATCACTGGACCGGATCAAACATCACTGAATCGCTAAGGGACGAGCTGCAAAGTCGTATTTCAAAAAAAAGAGCCACGGATTTTTTCAAGTCCCGGTTTGAGCTGAAGGTTGATATTTTTGTGTGGATCAGAAAACATCTAATAACTGGTGCAAATTTGGAGACGATCCAGTGATTTTTAATCATAACATCCCGTACATCTTCTGTTAAGTCTTTGAAACCTTTAGCTACTTTTTCTAACACATGTTGTGCGGGACGGAACTGACATGAAGCTATACTCACGCTCAGTGTCCAGCAATTATTCAAACACTTCCAGTCCAGCCATTTATCCGAAGAGATAGCGTAGATGAGCACACTCCAGCTTTCCGAACATGACATTCGAATGGCCCTACCGTGCCCCTCCCCATCCAGAGCTTGCTAAGTTCACCTGACTCATGGACTCATGGTTTTGCACTGATGTAACCACTGATATTTCGCTGGGATGAGACAGAAAAGGAGCGCGCATATTTGCCGAAAGCCCTTCTTCCCAACTAGCGCAGTACCCTTGCTTTGCTGCTTTTCAGCTTTGAGTGGTGAAAAACACACTTTTCAGGACTCCGGGACCTCGTTCACAGATTGAGGTGTGGCCGCGGCGAGCGCGGCCGACTTGCGCATGTAAATTTGGAAAATTTGCGCTTCATCAGCACAGTTCGCGGGTACCTTTGGTGGGAGAAGCTGATGCGCTTGCGCGTTAGCTAAATCAAGTCCGCTAAATGGCCCATGCCCCACGCGGCGAACAACATCGCAAGCTCTGGGCAATTGGTAAATTTGTATTTTTGTCGAAATAACTGCTGAAGTTCAGATCTAAGGTCTTTTTCGTTGTCAAGCTTTCTTTTCTCCGAATGATTAGCGAGAGAGAGGGGAAGTGGTGGAAATCGTGTGGGGCAGATTTGGTGTATATGGCGAGTGAGCAACCGTGGTCCAGTCTAGATTGAGGATCTTATGGTTAGGGCGTAAGACCGAAGATAACCTCGCCTTCAAATGACCAGAAATTGTGCAATTGCAGAAATTGACGTGGCATTAACGTGGCATCGATTCAAGAACATCTTTGAGCACACGTGATGTCACCTTTTCATTTAGCCACGTCAATGCCACGTCAATTTCTGCAATTGCACAATTTCTGGTCATTTGAAGGCGAGGGTATGTGCATACACGCTTTGTCGTGGAACATATGAACTCGTACTCGCGAAGGTAGCGATGGTTACGGCTTTTCAATCTCAATCCTGCAGACAGAACATCACAATGGCAGGCGCGATATCACGGTCCAAGGCGATTAGGGCGATATTGGCACGCTCGAGTCACTACCTGCCACTTAACACATTGACGACATTGGCTTTTTTTGGCCACGTGGGACCGCGGCGATTTTGCGGGCGCGGCCGCCTCAGGTCGTTCAAGCAGATTTTGAGTGATAAATACATAAATAATGATCAATACAAAACCAGATCAGTAAATTGTAATGAGCACAGGGGTACAGTAGTGGAATTTCGATCGAAAGACATGGAATAACAATGAAAAAGCGAAATTTGTCAGAACTAGCTGCAATGGACCTCAAAAGCAATTTTACGTTGATTATTCAATCAAAACACACATATTGTCATCCCTAGGGTTCCGCATCTACTTCTACTACTATTTAAGCCGAGTTCAAGCAGTCCGTCGACCCGAACGCCCACTGATGTTTGTAGCTACGTCAAGGTCTCTTCCATGGAATAAATACTTCTAAAAGAATCAGGCGTGCGCGAAAAAAATGAGTGTAATGGGTGCGGGGGATATATATCCCGCACGGTCCGACATGGCCTGCAATGCGCGGGATATATATCCCCGCGTTGTTGTCAATGTGTTAAAGACGCCTCTGTTTCGACTTAATCCAGAGATAGGGTAAAAATAAAAATAAAACAGATAAAGGTGAAAAAAGCGAAATAAGTTGGTTAGTGAACTGAATCCAGAAACTGGAACATGACTGAAACGAGTCCTAAATGAAGGTTTTCATAGAGAAGAGGCATTTTTCATTCATGGCAGCTGAACGGCGCAGTACAAGAGCTGCTAAGTTGCATGCACCGCAATCTAAGTAGGGCTTTCTCAAGAACGCACTCAAATGTGATGAAATGTACCCTACTCACCTGTATAGTCCTTCAAAAATTTATCAGAATACTGTAGTAAAGATGAATAGAAAACATCAAGCCATAAGCCAGAAATACCATCTACTCATACTTCATTGCAAAACCCATTTGTTCATAGATAACAAACATGAAACATCAAACAAGCATTCACCGCAACCCTTTCGTATATAAATATATAGTAGACCAGTTGTAGGAGAACAATGCCATGACATGCATTAGAAGGAATTGGACGAGATTCCTAACAACAGCCATAGAAAGACACCTATTTGAACATACTCTGATATTTCTGAAACCCTTCCCAAAAATCACAATTTGACGTATAAAATCAATACTGATGGCTCTAGACGCACGCTCACGATCACGCCGTCGGGAATCCGTCATTCATCATCGTCGGAACTTTCACTCAGATTCAAACCAAGATCTCGATGATCTGTTTTTGCGGTGTGCCTGAATTACCGCGTGCAAAACTCTTCTAACCTCTCAAACAGCAAAAGTATCAACCTACCTTGAACCAAAGCTATTTTGCAGAGAAGTATTGACAGGTGGTGGTTGCGAAATGGAGTCGAGCGATGGCATATCAATGCTTTCTACGGAAAATGTTGTGGAAGGAGCAGCTGACGTCTTCATGCTTTCGAGAAGATGGCCTAAGTTGAAGTAATGATTGATTGTGAGGTGACAGCAATTTGCCCTACTGATTCAGTTCCACCCTTTCTGAAACTGCACTCGACTAAGCACGTTGCATTATTATCCTACACTTCCTGTATCAAACCTGAAGCGACACCCCCAGGAGAAGTGTAGAGGAATCTATTCTGTGGGTGGAAAAGTGTAGCGCACAAGTATGCCATTGTTGTTGAAAATGTGCGATGTTTTGAGAAATCAGCTTTTTACGAGTAACCTTAGCATTTAAACGGTTGCGTTGCGCACATCCTATAACACGTAATGCAGATTACGGAGTATCGGCTAATGCAAATATTCGCTGGTTACTGAGCCGGCAAGTTCGTGCAACTTGTCTGACCCCGCCCCTCCTTATTTCAAGAAAATCCTTGTTTAGGACTTCATCGACAATTTTGTCCGTTTCTTTTCCTTTTCAATGCTAGTCAACTCGGCATCCATAACTCCATTACTGGCCGCTGTGACCCCACAAATATCTGTGGGTGCGGCTTTAATATCGTTGAACATTTTGTTCTTATTACGCACATTTTCATTATGCTAACAACGAAGCCGCATTGGAAGTGCAATATTTACGAAGAAACTCAAGCATTCTTCTCAGAAAGAAAAGTGATAAACATTTCGAAAACGTACTTTCAACATCACTGTCAGCCATACTTGAGTTCGAATCATGACGATTCTTGCCTCGATCCTGGAACATGAATGTTGTATGACGACTCATTGAAATACGTCGCGAAAGATGAAAACATAAGTGTATTGCGAAAGACTCAAGTTCAGTCAGTGACCACAATTACCCGGAAAACCGCACGTACCATTCGAAAATGCTTTTTATGCTCGACAAATCCTCAGTTTTTTTCAAATTTTTATCTGTACTCAATGTAGCGCTTAGACTTGCAAAGCTCAGACTGTAGGAATCAGCTTTTCGACAGCTGCTATTCTTCGGTTTCAAAGAGAAGAAAAAACCGAAAAAGAAGTTCTTTAGAATCAATCTTTCTTACCGAATATTAATCTAACCGACCTTACCCTTTGCGCTCAACGTGAAGCCATATCTATGTCGTACAAATTGATGATTACTTCGCAAACAAGCTCGATATCGTTTTTTGAATTTTCAGTGAATTCCTGCGAAATGATCATGGGATCCAAGTCATTAAAATGACAAGGTGGATATCACTGGTTTGTTTTATGTTTTCATTTTTTCTCAAGAACCTCTCTTCTCTCTTTGTGTGCAAGAACGAAAAATGCAACCGCGACAATACTATTAGGTTGTCCGCAAATTAATGCGGGTTTTTGACCTCCGTCTTCAAAGCAACATATCTCAGCTCAAACTCAACATTTTCAGTAATTCAAAAAAGTGTTGGAAACTACGCATTTTCTTAACAAGAAGCATGCTGAATTAATGCACGAACTCTAAATATAGGAACCGTAGAAGCGCGGATATCGGCGAAGGTCTTTCCCACCATGTCTCTGTTTTCAAATCTTTTTCTGCCCAAGAAGCTGTCGAGATGGCTGAAAAACAGGAGGTTGGTGAGGGTGAGATCCTGCGAGTGCACTGTGAAAAGCAAAGCTGGATAGGTTGATTTATCCCTTTCTTACGAGGTCGTTTGTGCGACATGTGGCTGGGCGTCAACATGGAGAACGGTTGTTTCCCTTCTCCTGGTGCAGGCGTTGCTCTTTAACACATTCACGCCGATGGCCGCCCATATGGGCTGCCAACAACATGCGCTCCTGGGACGATGGCAGCCCATATGGGCTGCCAACTGATAATCGCTTGCCAGGCGCTAGGAATGGACAGATAGGTGGGCAAACCTCGTAATCGAGTGTAAAATGCTTTTAAATTCCTTCACGGGGAAAGTGAATAAATGCTCTCTTTTCGTAACCACTATTTGTCGTTCTGATCGAAATCCTACTGTTATATGTTTAGATAATCTTTACGCATTGGACATTGCAGAAATTATTTTGTGACATTCATGTTTTTGTTCATTTACAAAACAAAATCTGCGGTTATGTGGTGAGGCGGCGGCGCCCACAAAATCGCGTCCGTCCCACGCGACCGAAAAGTGGAAAAGGGGCGTCGTCGTGAATGTGTTAAGGTGCATCACGTCGGTGTTATGAACAGACATTGGTACTCTATCAACTTCACCTGGATTCAGAAAGCTGCGATGCATCATTACTCCGGAAGGCCACGAAACCATCAGCGTGGTCCTCACCTTGTGGAAATTCTACTTTGGAAAAAGTTTTTGATGTTCGTTGCTGTTTAGATTTTTGGAAAATTGCTCTTTCTATAGCAAAGGGTCCTATTTCCGTCGAGGATGACGAAATGTTCCAGAGTCGGACATTTTTGTTGAGTAAAAAAGTTGTGCCAAGATCCCTGCAAGGTGACTTTGCTGCTGCTCAGTCAGTTCATGCGGTACCCACTTGTCCAGCTTTCTTACCTTCCCAAGTACCTTCAGGCGCTCCGAAAATTTCAGTATGCTTGCTCAAGGTTATGCTGCTGGCTGTCGTACACTTGTTTGGAAATCTTCTTCTGCCGGGTCTTCAGAAGGCTGCCGTCAAGAGGAGAATGTCGTCCGTAACCCCCTCACTTCGAATCTAGATTTCCCTAATTGAAAGCTTCGGAGCCATTGAAGCAGTGTGCATTTATTGCAACATCCTAGCCCCACACACAATCCTATTCCGAGCTGTCTGCACAGCACCCTCTCCAAATTTCAACTCATAGAAGTGAACTTGCTCAAACCACTGCTTTGACTTCTTCGATTCAAACCTTTGAAAAAAGTGAGGCCCGAGTCCTTTCAAAATACAGCAGTGTAAGAAAGAGAATGAAATGGGCTTTCCAACGATGTGCAACAGTACAGCAATCGTAAAAAATTTCTCGGAAAAATGTCTAATAAAGTATGATACATCGAAACCGCATTAATTTTCGGACAACCTAATATGTTCCGCCCCAATAATTACAGCACAAAAACCGCACATGGAAGCGAAACGTGATGAAGTTCTGTGGATATCTGTATTGCATCGTAGCGACAAGAGCAGATGCGAAACCTCTATTAGGGTGACGCATGAGTAAAAAGTAAAAAGAGTGCGAACGTATGATTTTTAATGAGCTTTGAGATACGGTCAAGCACTTTTAAAGGCTCATGTCCTGTGCTTTTTCACTATAACAATTTGCACAAAAAAGGTGCAAACGGGAGAATAATAAAAACGATCACAAAAATTGCGGTTCTCCGCAAATAGGAAACTTTGCCTTTCTTGATTTTTTGCAAGGAAAACATTTCACCTTTGTTAATCTTTTTTTCGAATAATGGAGGCTAAATCATTTGGAAATTTGGGTTTTCCACTTCTTAACAAAAGCCCTTTCAGGCTTGTGAATTATTTGTGACATTTTGGAAGCGAACACCATGCACTTTCCCAAATCTTAGTTAGAATAATTAAAAAACGTATGATTTTATTTCTTTTGGAATATTCTTTTTCTTACCGCACCCCGTTCCTTCATCGCCTACATGAAACATGGCGCGCTCCTACTCTAAAATAGCAGCGGAAATTCGAGCTTTGTTACTTTGGCGAACTAGTCAGCGTTAGCTATTTTGACAACTCTGCACAAAAGGTCTAAACAGCAACAGGAGGGGTCCCACCTGGACCCCATGGGGGGAGGTCGCAAACCTTTTGAAAAGTGACCCTACTTGAAACGCTTCAACAGGTGATGTTCGGAGGGGGAGGGGGAGGAGGTCATGCTCTAAACCATGAGAGTGGGATGGATCAGGAACCGTATTCCAGCCATTTCTTTGCATCTTGAAATTCGTGGTGTTCGCGTAGAGGTGGGGTGTGGTTCACTAGGAAAGAAAGCGACTTTTTCGCGTTTCGCGCGCGAAACATTTTTCGCTGTAGGAACTCCAGGTCCACTCATGATCAGCGGTGGACCTGAGATTCCTGCAGCGAAAAATTTTGCGTGCGAAACGCGAAAAAAATCGCTTTCTGTCCTAGTGAACCACTCCAAGTGGTAGACTCGAGTTGTGATTGGTTCAGTGATACTGTTATTGCCGTATTCTGTGCTTCATTTTGTTAGGGCTTTTCATATTGAGCAATCGTATCTTTGGATTTTTTCTAGATAATGTGCAATCAATAAACGGACTGTTAGTTGGCATGACAGAGGCTATCCGGAAACACGAGAAGAGCTCTGCTTAGTCACTGGCTCGTGAAAAAAAAACGGGGTTATAAGGGTCCTATATCACCATTTCTCACGTACTTTTCTTCACCAGTACCACTCTACCACCACTGTTTCAGAGCCAACTGCGAATGATTTGTCGTATTATCCCCCCCCCCCTTCTGGCTCTGAAGGAGTCACCATTACCTAGTCAGAAATTCTTCCAAAAACATGTGCGCGCCGCCTACGGGGCACACTCCCAACATTTTGCAAGATGTAATTCGCACGAAGCAACCAAATATAAGATCGTACAATTGCTCCTTACATATGTTCTGCTGCTACAATATAAGATGAAAAAACTGTGTAGCTTCATCGTGTTCGCTCCAAACTGCAATTTTTCGCCGTGGTGCACCTTGTAGAAGGATCGCAGGACGTAAGTTTGAGGATGTCGACTATAGCAAGGAGCATTGAGCAGTGTCTCAAAAACTATGGCATGATCGTATACGATTAATTTCCACGGCCTTGGTTTTGTATAACTCCAGTTTTGTATAACTTAATTAAATCAGACATCAATCAGGTGCTATACAAGTGGGGTGGGCACGCCCAGCTTTTCACGCATGTCAAGTGACTGCCCTCACCCCCACCCCCTAGATTGGCTACACTCCCCCTGGCTCACGAATTCCCCGATTCTCGTGACAGTATAGTAGCGGGCAGCAGTCCCACTTACATACATTTCTGTTCAAAAAATGCGGCGTGCCCACCCTACTTGTATAGCACCATCAATCAATAAAATCGGTGACGAAGCATTGAAGATTGAAATACTTTGCTGTGTAAGATGGAAAATGGTATGTAGTTTACACAGCAAAGAAAAGTTTTAACACGAAACCCTATTCTCAATGATCAATACGCCTAATGACACAAAACAAACCTCATCATCGGATCCACTGTCGCTGTCGCTATCATCACTTGAAGAGTCGGAAGGAACTGCTGCTATCAGC